CCAAATGGTTTTGTTATAGGTATTGGATAGCACATTCATATTTTACACAATTAGCTCATAGACTGTATGTACTAAAGTATAAGTCTTTCCAGCTTATACTTTTTCTGAGTTTTTTCATGGCTCCTCTATATGCCAATCACCTCAAGGTCAACTGCAGTGTTTGACTTTTGAGTCTCCGCTAAGCATGCACACAGTTTCAGCCAAGCACGTGCTTGCTGCTGCTATGACCACAACCTCAGACCAGCCCCTGGCCTTTCTGCTTGCACACGACACAGCTTGTCAGCTCACTTTCACATCACTACCCACCCCGAATTAACTCAGCCCCATACATTTTGTAACTCTGCTGCCAGTCCTCATGGCCTGTCCTCTCTTGGAAGAACCTTTATGCCTATGATGCTGGGTGTTGGGAGGGGGAAAAATGGAGCCACTGTAGGCAAAAAACACTGCACTGTTGTTGTTCCCTGAATTCTGCAGCTTTTTAAGCATAAACAATTTTCAGTTGTTGCAACATTTGGATATTTCTAACCACTGAAATGGTTAGTTTTGTTGATCTAGTCCAGTTTTATGGTTGGTGTCCCTGAGAAGATTGGTTCACTATAGCCAGAGGGCCCTGTTAACATTCACTTCTTAAATTATGCAAACTACACATATTATTATGTTTTAATCAAATGTTTGGCTTTATTTAGGACTCCCAAATAATTCCAAGACATGTCAGCTCCTTGTGGCTCAAATGGCATTAGCTAGAAAGGAAGCCCAGAAACAGGAAGACATGGTATGACCATCTTCCTCAGATTCATTTCCAAGTGAGAAGGCATTTAACTTGCCCCAGTGTCTCTATAGCAGTTTAATAGGCTGGAGGGTGAAGCCTCCCAACAGCAATACCTTTATCTACTTATGTTACCACAGACTTCACCTGAACAGTGTGACACTTATGAGGTTAAGATGTGGAACACAATCTTTTCATAGGATTCTCTTCTTTTTTTTCTCCCATACCAGATAGGTTCTTGGCTATAATGCAGGCAGACATTTCCAGGAGTAGAAAATGTCCTATTTGAGGTATATTATCTGACAAGAGGAAAGCAACTGTGAGGCAGGCTGTTTCCTTTGTGTGTGAGTAGGCTCTATCCCTCACCTGATACCTTGGTCTTCCCATGGCTACTCTTTTTTATGTTCTTTCCCTGAATGTGAGAGTAACACATGCTTTTTGTAAAAATGTGCATAGAAGAAGAGTCACAGTACCTGTCCTTCAAACTCTGCAACCACATCACTGTTGACAGTTTAATTTGTCTCTTCCTCATTTTGTGTTTGTATATTCACATAACTGTGGCCATATGGCCAATATTATTTATACCTTGTTTTAAAAATTTATAATGTAAAGGTAATAAAGTCAGCTTGCTATAGAAATTTTGGAATATCCAGAAATGATTAAAGTCATCTGGCTATATTCTTCTTGTCTTTCTGATTTGCAAATATATATTTAGGTTTTTATTTTAATAAATATGGTCCTATGGGATATACAGTTTTTCATTACATATTTGCTTTTTAAAAAATTTTATTTATTTATTTGACAGAGAGAGACACAGCAAGAGAGGGAACACAGCAGGGGGAGTGGGAGAGGGAGAAGCAAACTTCCCACGGAGCAGGGAGCCCAATATGGGGCTCGATTCCAGGACCCTGGGATCATGGCCTGAGCTGAAGGCAGATGCTTAATGACTGAGCCACCCAGGCACCCCTACATATTTGCTTTTGCATGATAGCATGAGCATTTACTGTACTGTTGTATACTACATAAATATAATTTTAAGAGGATGCAAAATATTTTGGGGAAATATAATAATTATTTAACTTTTCTTCTACTTTCAGACATTTAGGGTTTTTTTCTGATTTTAGAGAAAAAAATATACCTAATGGAAAACATTAGGTATATTTTAGGTATTATTTCCTTGGACATATTTCCTGAAGAAAAAATTACAGATTGTAATGACATGGTCAAATGTACATTTGTGCAGGTCAGATCAGCTCCATCTGTGCTGTTCTGAGAATGGACCAAATGACAGAAGTACCATCAGAAAGGCTGTGGGAGACCAAGGCTTCACCAGAAAAAGTTTCTTAAGGTGGAGAAAGGGGCGAGGAGGGTCTGCAGATTCTGGCCTTGGCACCAAAATCTCAAGAACTCAGTGGTGTGATCACAGTGAGAATATCCTGTGTCAGGAGGGGAGTCGCATATACACCAGGCCTTTAGATGATGTTTATAATTTACCCTGAGAAAGAGCTCTCTCCTACACATACTGGGCTGAACCTGTAGCATGAGGCCCATGCTCATGGAAGCCAAAGCTCACCCGGAAGTTGGCTCTCAAGCACAGACCAAGAGGTATGAAGTCTATGGTGAGAATGTGCTGTGAAATCAGACTGTGAAAGCCTGAAGTAGTGATCTTCGCAAGGACTGGACAGATTGGGTCCTTGACTGGTCACAATCTCTCTACAGTACTTGGGTGGGGTAGGGGTGAGGACACGTGCTCTTTGTGCTCACATTACTGAACAGCCCTCCTCTGCTCCACCCCTAGCACATTTATCCGATGTGCATGTCTCTTATTGAGCCTTGCTCAGCCTGACTCTACAGTCACTTGTCCCCATAGAGAGACTGAGATGACTCAGTCTATGACATTCAATTACACAGTTGAACTCAGGGCCTCCATATATCTGTGTTCTTTGAGGAAAGAAGCACCTGCTCTTGTGATATTTATAGTCTACTTGTGCTAATAGCTTCATGGTCACGGGTCTCATGTCACCATGCCCACACTGACAAAATGAGACAGAAAGTCAGAGCCTCAGTAAATCACCTGCCATGGAAAAGCGCAGATCCTGGTGAAATATCAGGGATCACCTAGTGCTACAAGAAGTCTGAGTGCTGTTTCTTTCAGAACAGTGTCATCAGAGTGAACTGAAGGTGTAGTGTCTCAACAGTCCTGGTCATACAATCCCAACTCACACAGCAGGTACTGGAATGAGTTTGCTATAAAATAGGGGACCCCCTCACCCACAACCTGAGAGTACATCTGACAGCAGGAGCATGAGTGTGCAGGCAGGTATTTTATTTCCATTAGCTGTGGCCTTTTGGAAATGAGCTAGTTGGCTGTGGTTTAACTGTGCTTATTTCATCTTACAACACCCGAGCCACTGTTTGCACAGCCCCAACAAGCAGGGGCCGGTTTGACTTCAAGCATTTTCACGAATCAACCACATTTGACAGAGCCCATCAAAAGAAAGCCTGAGAAAATAAACACCATCATCACACCAGTGCCCTCCTGCCCCCCACACTGTCTCCTGCACCACAACCTTCCCCCTCTCTGCACCTTCCAGTCCAGGGCAGTCCAGGTCCAGTTGGAGAAGGAAGGTGGTAAGGAGTTGGAAGCCATGGGAGACACTGCCTAGGAGCCCCAGCAGTGACATCAGCCCACACAGCTTTAGGTCATTTGCTAGTTCCCCTCTGTGCCTCCGTGCTTTGCACGTGCAGTAACAGTTCCAGATCTCTCAGTAGAGGCTCAGGCATTTGTCCTAGGATATCTGATCAATTCTTGAGAATCAAGTAGACCGAAATTAAATTTCTCTTTTTTGTATCTGGTGGTTCTTATGTTGTTTCCACATGGGAACTTCTACTTGGTGTCCAAAAGCACCTGTTTCAAAGGAACTGCAGCTGATTGTAAATAAACCAAAAATCCTTCCCAATTTTAAATGAGACATTGTTTGAATTCTAATATATAAAAGGTATATATTTAAATGCATTCATTAGCAAAAATAGAAAAATAAACAGTCACTACTTTTTTCACCAACTTACCACACACTGAACATTTTGTTTTACACCCATGTTTGTAGAAATATACACATACATGTAAATGAGAGTCCAACTTGTAGTGTGTGTGCATGTGTATTTCTATTATTTCTTAATTAGAGCTGCCAACAGGAGATGCTAATGCTGTTGAGGACTTGCATGTACTCAACAAAATTACTTCATCTCATCCACCAACTCCAGGAGACTAATCACTGTAACTCCATTTTACAGATGAAATTATGTCATAGAGAGTTCAAGTAGCTATAGAACCAAGATTTAAACACAGGCACATGGGATTCAGAGTCCAAGCACTTAACCCCTCCAACACCCTATCTTTCCAGTGTTAGTGCAGCTCTCCTGGGGTTCTTGTGAGATCAGGAAACATGGTGCTTGTGACACACTGGGGTAAGTCTGAGCACACCTGTCAGTCATGTGACAAGTTATATTCTCACCACCAGAACATCTTCAACCAAATGTTGACTCTGTTGACCTTTGAAGGAGAAATAACCTGGGCACCTTCACTGGCTGTGGCTCCCCTGGGGCTGGTGCCCCAAAGAAGGCATCATAAGGACCATCTCAAGTAAAGAATTAGAAATGTGGAATTGACCATTATTACAACCAATGCTAAATTGGTTGGCTCAGTTGTCATGCTGTCCCTTACCTTGGACTTTCAGTTAGATTGCACCAAATGAAAGTACACAGAGGCCAAAGTAGACTTTTGATTGCTTTTATTTTGCCTATTATGGAAAACACTACAAACTTCAGGTAGCAAGGATAGTGACTTCCAGGTATGTAAAATAAAAAGCTTCAAGGCAGTTATCTGGTTAAAGAACCGCAGGGATGTGACTAGAAGCTGCATTTTGGCTGTACTCAGAGGCATGGAGACTGGGTGGCTGAGAAGGTGGTGGACAATAAAGAGAGGGTGGTCCTGAAGCCCCGTGTGGCCCCCTGACCCCGCCCCTGAGTCATGGCAACATTTGTTCTTGCTTCAGAGTGAAAGTTTCCATTTGCCCAGCAGTTTTTTAAACCTGTTCCGCAATAATGACAAGTAGAAAAAGACACATGTGAAATGAAATACCCAATCTCCAAAAGAAGTCCCACTAGATCCTCAGCAGACACTTTTAGGGACAATAGCCAATGGAAAGAAGTGGAACCTTGGTGCCACCATGTGTTAGGAACTCTTCCCATTGCCATAGAATACTGGTCTCCCAAGCAGACAGATGGCAATGATGGAGTAGACCAGGCTCTTCAGAAGGAGGAGGAGGTAGGTGTAGTAGGCAGAGGCGTTCTTGAGTTGCAGCTGCAGGGTGTCTAAAAGAAACATTTTATTAATTTCATGTGTCGTTTTGAGAGGCTAGGACTTATTAATGGGCGAAGGGTGACTATATACACTTCTGATGACCTAATTGAAGTGACAGCCTCACACCAGCACAACTGGATAGTAAACCTCTATACCACTATCACCAACACCACCACCACCACCATCACCACCACCAAGACAACTCAGAACCCAGTTTGCAGGTCAAATGAGTCAAAAGACTGTGAAATTCACCCAGAAGTTTCCAAAGTATTAAAAAGTAAGGTTGTGTTTATAATGAATGAATCCAATAGGAAAAAGGCATTGGTGATAAATAGCTTTTAGCATTTCTTCATCCTTACCATGTCTTTAAGTAAGAATAAGTACAAGCTAAATGTCACTTATTTTGAGAACTTTGCGTGCAAAGCTTAAGCCTTATTTAATTTTTCAATAACCTATGAGATTATTATTTTCATTCTCATTTTACAAATAAATTGAGGACAGAGAGGGAAGCCATTTGACTGATTTTGTGCAACTAGTAAGTACTAGAATCCAGGTTTCAATCCCAGCAACATGGCGTTTAAGAATACTTTCTCAACTGCTCTTTAATTCTGTACCTCCACATGCAATAAATAACCAAGACATAAAAATGATTAAGCAAAACTATAAAGTTGGATGATGATGAAGATGATGATGACAATGATGATTAGAGTCCAGAAGTCCCTTGATATTAAATATGGAAGGTGGATCAGCAGGGCAGAACCAATGCTCTTCATCATTACCTTTGTTCATATGTGGGGAGAAAGAGCTAGGAGCTAGTACTTATGATGCAGCAGCTAAGTGAGATACCTATGCTAGTCATTTCACATATGTCATGTTATATCTTCTATAACTGAGATACGTATTTGTGTCATTTTTGGTAGGTTCAGAAAATGTAAATAATTTACCCATATTCATGCAACTGATAGTTAAAAGAGTGGAGTTTAAGTCCAGTCTGTGGCACTTGAGACCCAGCACTCACACCCCTCCCCATGTGTGCATCTGTCTCAGGGCCTTGGCTTTGGGATTTCAAGAAGAATAAAACTAAGTAAGTGTATGAATTCTTGATTCAGATAGTCTGGGATGAAGCCATAGATCTCCCCGTTTGGCATAGGCACTTAAATAATTTCAGTTCATTGACCTGATATAAAGCAGGAATAAAATCCTTCACAGTGAGTATTAAGAGAATTAAACAAAATGTCCTCACAGTGCAGCACAACACCTTCTGTACAAGAATCTCTCAGTGTCAGCTCATGTTATTAACCACCAGCAAGAACAATTTTTTTTTTAAAATCTCTAAGCAACTTGATATCATGTTTTCCTCAGTCAGTAGAAACAAAGACCACAGAAGTGAATGAAGTCCATTGTTGAAAGAATTCAGAGTACCCACTGCACCCCTAACTTATAGTCCTCTCACACCCAAACCAACATTTACTGTGTGAAGATGACTCCTGAGAAATGGTGTATTGACTTACAATATCATTCAGTCTATTTTGCAAGATCCAGTCATTCTGAGGTTTCTCCCTGAAGCCAGGGAAGTTCAATGGTTACACTGATCAGATGGAAAAATGCTATAGCATAACATAAATGTAGACAAAAACTTACCATTTTCATCATTCAGAGAAGCTTTTGTGGAGTTAACAGCAGTGAGCTCTAAAAGAAATGAGAGCAAGTATTATTTAATTGTTCATATCTATTCTTTAACATATGTCTGTGTTGTGTATAGATGGATAGATAGATAACAATTAGTAAACAGAGAGGAGAACCATTACTAATATGAGCCTCACAATTGCAGAAATGGTTGGTCTGATTCTGTGTAATTCAGTAAATCATTTCATATATTGTATTTCTGCACATGAAGATGTTGAAATTCATGAATGATGCATTTTTCTTTCCCCCCACCCCACAACTGGAGGGTAAATGCTTAAGACAATCTTGTTTTCCTTCTGTGCTCATAGCTCCTAGCACAGTGGCTTCTGCAAAGTAGGTGTTCTATAAATACTTGTTGAATGGAAAAATAACCAGAAACAGTGGCTGCTGTACAGTTCTCACCACCCATTGCTAACCTGAAAGGTTGCTACCAAAATGAATTCATCCAACCCCAGAATCCACAGCAGAATCTTACATGTTGGAAGGAATCTGGTTTAGATCAATTTCCTATCTAAGCAAAAGAAAGTAGCCCTGCCTTTTAAATCACACATGCTTCAGTATCCCCAAATTCCACACATGATTTTCTGGAGTGGTAGTATTTGCAGACATGACAACAATACTAATGAAAACCAATACCTACTGAGTGATTATTACTGTGCCAGGCACTATGTGAAAGGTTCACATGTATTATGTCATCTGATTCCCCAGTTACACTGACATGGGCTGAATTTGGAGGACTCCATCTTACCCAGAAGGAAATAAGATTTAGAGAATCTATGTACCTTGCCGAGAATCATACCAGTGATTGGAAGAGCCAGCACTCAGTGGATGGTTGTGGGGGTTTAGATGAGCCTAGAGCATGTGGAAAACACCTTGTAAAACAACCCATAGAAATCAAACATAACTCCACCATTGTGGATGGTCAGACATCATCTCTTCCAAATATTTTAATTAGTCTTAGCAAATGACCTTCTTATTACGAAGCTCAGCATTTCTTTTTTTAAAAAAATATTTTATTCATTTATTTGAGAGAGAGAGCACAGGTGGGGGGAAGGGGCAGAGGGAGAGGGAGAAGCAGATTCTCTGCTAAACAGGGAGCCCAACACGGGGCTCGATCTCATAACCCTGGGATCATGACCTGAGCCAAAGGCAGGTGCTTAACCAACTGAGCCACCCATACACCCCTAAAAGCTCATCAATTCAGTGCCCTTGTTTGCAGGGATAGAATGATAGGCCAAGTCACACTGATAGCCGTCTGAATACATAAAACCTGAGGTGAGAGTTGTATTTATCTACAGTGCAGAAAAATAAAACAGAACAACAACAACAACAACAAATGCACCCAACATACATACAAAGACAAAAATCCTTAAAATGATCATTGACCATTGGATGCAGAAAGAGAGAGTTGCAATGCCCTATTGGTTTATCTTTTTCTGGCCCAATGTCCTTGTCCACATCAACATGGTTCTGGTGTGCAATTTTATGCATTCCACACAATCTTATTTTGGTCTGCTCTTAAAGAAATGGGTGGAGGTATAGATTTTAGGTAAATCCCAAGAAGGAAAATATTACTATAATTATGTTAAATGTTAAAATATCCTTAAGAGATGACTTGAAAGTACATTAAATGTCTCTTTTTTTGCCATACACTGACTGTATTCATCACATTTGAACCTGAAACTAATATAACACTGTATGTTTACTAACTGGAAGTAAAAGGCTTTTAAAAAGATAAATAAATATCTCTTATATCATTGATGTAAAGACAGAAAAGTAACAATATTCATAATAAAACTTATATGTGTGTCCTAGGTGCCCTTTCTCAGTCAGGGTTTGTCAAAAATGTGGACAAGATGAATTTTATCTCTCTTCAGAATCACTCACTGTTCTGTTCATTCATGTATATGCACACATATATACAAGCTTTTCAAAAACAAAAACAACAAAAAACTTTCATGAACCAGCACTAGAAATCTGCTGTAGAATTGCATTAACAGAAATGCCCTCATTAGCCTTGTTGCTACAAGACCTTGGGAGACATTCCTTTCAGAAGTAAATGCCAAGCAAATGCCACATCATAAACAAGAATTATCACCATGGAACTTATTATAATTTTTACTTTTTCTGCACACTAGAAATTCAAAACCTAAACAAGACACTTCAACCCAAAGGTTACATCAAATTTATGCCTTGCTTGTTTGTTTCCTATTAGTTGTAGAAATAAAAAAAAATTAGGGCTGCCTGGACCCTCTGCAGCCTGATGTAGACAAGAAGCCACAGCAAAGCAGATCTACCCCCTCTGATTATTCTTGGCAAGATCACATCAAAGCAGTGCCATAAGCCTGGCAGTGTGCAAGCAGCTCAGACAAGGGTCAACACCACTCCAAAGTGGGGAGTCTTGCTCCAGGAAGAAGGGAAGATAATCACAGACCAGTCTGACTGTGGCCCCAGCAGTGGGCTGGGGTCAGGCAGATGGTCTGACTGCAGGCCCCACCCACCAATAAAAGCTCCTCAGGGGACAACACAGGGAAAGTGCCCTGCAGTTTGGTGCTACTTCATCTCTGGCAAACACCTGGTCTGACTCAACTCAAGCCCAAGGTGGCCCCAGACCAGCTCACTAACACCACAGGCCCATACTGCCCACAACATGAAGAGAGCTATTGCAGACTGGACTGAAGGCAAACACATCCCAGCCACAACAGTAGGACACCCCTGTAGCAACATACATAGAGACACCCCTGAAGCACCATTTTATGGTGAAAAGGAGACATTGCATTGCGGGGCACTACAGGACCTCTTCTTCATAAAGCCACTACTTCAAGTGCAGGAGACATAGCTGACTTTCCTAACACATAGAAACAGACACAGCAATAGACAAAATGGGAGACAGAGGAATATGTCTCAAATGAAAGAGTGGAATAAAATCATAGCAAGAGACCTAAACAAAATGGAGATAAGTAATATGTCTGATAGTGAATTTAAAAGTAATGCTCATAAAGATACTCCCTAGAATCGAGAAAGGAGTTCAGCACCTCCATGAGACTCTCCACAAAGAGATAGGAGACCTAAAAAAGGATCAGATAGAGATAATGGATTCATTAAATGAAAATAAAAATGGACCACCCGAAATAAACAGCAAATGAGAGGAAGTAGAAGAATATATCAGCAACCTGGAGGACAGAGTAATGGAAAGTAATCAAGTTGAGCAGATAAGAGGGGAAAAATATGCAAATGAGAATAGACCCAGGGAACTCAGCAACACCGTCAAGCATAACAGTCACATGATAGGGATCCCAGAAGGAGAAGAGTGAGAAAAGGGGGCAGAAGATTTATTCGAAGAAATAATAGCTGAAAACTTCCTGAATCTGGGGAAGGAAAGAGAAATCCAGATCCAGGAGGCACAGAGAGCCCCCAACAAAACCAATCTAAAAAGGTATGCACCAAGACACAAAGTAAATAAGATGGCCAAAAGTGTGATAAAGAGAGAATTTTAAAACATCAAGAGAAAGGAAAGCAGTTATATACAAGGGAAACCCCATAAGGCTATTGTGAGTTTTTTAGCAGAAACTTTGCAGGCCAGAAGAAAGTGGCATGATACGTTCAAGGTGCTAAAAGGAAAACATCTACAGCCAAGAATATTCTATCCAACAAGGCTTTCATTCAGAATAGAAGGAGAGATAGAGTTTCCCAGAAAAACAAAAGTTAAAAGCAAAACCAACCACGTCCCCATCACACACGATGCCATCAGCCTATGGGTCCCAAATTCACAGTCCAGCCACCATCCCACCTGAGTCAGCATGCACAGCTTGCCACCTGCTCAATGCCAAGTCAACACACCTTGACCTCAGATTGACAAAGGCTCAAACTGACACTTTTCCTCTCAAATTCCAGCCCCTGTGCTCAAGATTGTGTACAAAAGTGGGCAGCAGAATAAAGCAATACAAAAAGTGACACTAATTCTGTGGAATATATAATGGATAAAAGGAGAGTGCTAGGCTGAAAACATCTCCAACAAACATATCAAAGAACAATACACAGAGCATGATTCTGGTTAGTAAAAGAAACAAACACAGGAAAAATAAAATAAGATGGGAAAAATAAAACAAGACGAAATCAGAGAGGGAGACAAACCATAAGAGATGATTAATCACAGGAAACAAACTGAGGGTTGCTGGAGGGGAGGGTGTGAGGGGATTGGGTAACTGGGTGATGGGCATTAGGAGGGCACAGGATGGAATGAGCACTGGGTGTTATATACAATTGATGAATCACTGAACTCTACCTCTGAAATCAATAATACACTATATGATAATTAACTGAATTTAAATTAAAAAACAAGAACCCTCCAAAATTAGAGCTGTCTGTATAATCTTACTTTAGTTAGTTTTAAGAAAGGATATAAATAAGTACAATAAATATAGGAATACATTTGTCATGTTATGTTTTCAATAGCAAGCATTATCACTGACATGATTTCATCTGCTCTTCATCACAGTTCAGGTGAAAGCAAAGGTAAATGTTTAACCCTAATTTGATCATTGGACAAACTATGAATCTGGGAAATAAAAAAAAAATCAACTGAGTAAATTTTAAAGATCTAATTGGTTGTATTTATCAATCGAGCATCATCCTATCTAGGAAGTAGAGGGGAACTCCATAGGTTTACAGGAAAGAAGTTTTTCAAGATAGAGAGGGAATGAAAAAGAAATTATCAGCAAGGAATCCATTGGTTTAGGCAAGGTCATCCTCCTCCGGGGAATGTATGGGGTCAATCAGTAAATTTCCTAGTGTTGACCAGGAAATTCCCATGTCCATTGGTTAAAGGTTGCAATTCTGGGTGTTGAAATTGCATTTAGGTAGGTATGAAGATTTTAATGACTTGTGGCCTTAAGCTAAGTGAGTACATTTTGAGCCTGTGGTTTTCCTTTTTAACAACCCTGCCTTTTGACCAGACTCTCAGCTTAACTGAGAGATGGTTTCTAAATTGAAGGCATTAACGCCATTCTCAGCAACTGCTCTGAAGTTCTCACAATATTTGTTGTTCTCCTGGCTGATATTCATAGGTCTTGACCTTTTTACTTAACCTTTGTGATGTTCCCAGGTTACCACTTCAGCTTTACAATTTTTGAGTTGGTCATTCTTTTCATTCTTTGTGATGTTCCAGTCTTAAAAAGATCATTTGCTTGGAGATTACTGGCTTTGAATTTGCATGCCAAGCGTTTGAGAGAACATAAAGCACCAGGCAGATTGTTATGATGCCTATAAAGAGGATAATTCCCCATGTTTGGAGTGCTATTTGATGCCCTGGTCCCAAGACTCAAAGCAACTAAAATCAAATAAATAAGAAGAACCCTGCTGAAGGAGTCACTCTGTTAAACCAAGTGGCTTGCACCCTGATCTGATCTTATTGGGTTTTAACTTCCCCAATAGTGTTCATCTGGGTATAGCACATGGTGTTGCCTACAGCACAGATACAGCCATGTTCAGCTGAGTCATAATCAAGGGCTATTCTTACTTTCAAGAACTGCTTTGGCCAGAGTCTGAGGATTTTTGTTGGGTACCCATTGCTTTAGGAGGGATTCTGCAACAATTTTAGAATGGAGGAGAAAGTCTTGATCATACCTCATTTCCAATTATCCCTAACCAGGGAAGTAGGGCCAGCCAAAGAAGTGAATCCTGGTGGCTTCTTGGTAGCCCTACTAACTTAGGATATATCTTTAGGGGAGTCAACCAATGAGATGTCTTACTTACCTTGAGAAAATTTAGGACCAGGGTTAGATTTTCTCATAGCCTGAAATAAAATCTTGCTCTAAATTCCAAGGGTTAGCCCCCTTGGCAATGACCAGGGAGATACAGGCTATTGCCAAATTAAAAGAAAAAAGGGAGAAAGGATTTCATATTTAGTTAAAGTATGAAGTCTTGAACCCCTGTTTAGGTGAAAGCAGTCTGTTTGGATGTCAGCTACTTCTTTTTCTCTCAATTTGATTTAGAAACTCCAGTGTCTGGGCAGGACCAGCTGTCAGGTGGAGACTTCTGTAGCTGTGGGATGTGTACAAAGTTCAACATCTAGTTTTAGAGCATGGGCACTAGGTAAGGTGTGTCTTCTACTGTGAAGTTTGAGGGCTGTCTTCCTCTGATGATGTGTGCAAAATACCTAATCACCAGGCTGCAAGCTGTGACTGAGAGGACCCTTTTAATTGTGATCTAAGAAGGTTTCTGACACCTGGTGATGACAGACTTGAGCATCAGACACTGCAGAATTACGCTAGCTGGTCAGACTAGCAGGCCACACAAAGGATCCTCAGAAGGTTGTACACCGAGAAAATTCCAGGAAGTTTGTAAGGTTTTCCTAAAAGTTCCTATGATTTTCCCTGTGAAGTAGGAGCTTTGGTCACTGGAGATCATAGAAGGTGTGCCCCAAGGGGGAAACCCATTTTTAACAGCGTCTTTGCCACAGTGAGGGCATAAGCCTCTTGGCAAGGAAGGCTTTAACACACCCAAAAACATATAAACAATGACAAGGGCATATTGACAACACATACTAACTGGCAGTGGAATGAAGAAGTCCTGCAGGTGTACAAAAAGTCCAGAGGGAGGAAGCTTGAAGCCTCTGGAGAGTAAACAGTTTTTCCAGGATTATGGACCTGACAGGTTAGACGTTGATGGTAAACTGTTTTGTACTTTGGGGTCTCTAACCTGATGATTTTTACCAAGCGAGTTCCTCAAGACTCAAAAGAAACTTTTAAGATTTTGCAATTTTGTGCTCACCTGGGTACCTCAGTCGGTTAAGCGTCTGCCTTCAGCTCAGGTCCTGATCCCGGGGTGCTGGGATCGAGCCCCACATCAGGCTCCCTGCCCAGCAGAAAATTTGCTTTTCCCTCTACCTGTCTCCCCTACTTGTTTTTTCACTCTCGCACAAATAAATAAAATAAAATCTTCAAAAATAAAAATTTTGCGATTTTGCTACCTATCTGTAATCTGGGACTATAGTTTTTGGTGATAAATAAACAGGTGTATGAGAAAATAAATAAAATTTAAAAATTAAAAAAAGAAAAATAAACAGGTATATCAGAAATTGGTGAGCTAATCTCTTTAGAATTTAAGGATCCCATTAGTTAAGACTTTGGGCTTCTCGGAGCCAAACTAACACCTAAAAAGGATGTGTCTGGTATTGAAAATTTGTGTTTTACAGTGTAGCTCCTTGCACAGAAGTATTCTTGAGGTTGATGGGTGACCTAGTGCTGATACAACCCATTTCCTGACCAAGTCGTACTATCAGGAGAGTGTTCTTGAGGTAACAAATGTCCTTACAGTCTCTAAATACTTGACTCATGCCCACCAATTTTTGTGGCTTTTCCCACATTCCTCTGTTAGCTTATCTATACTGAAGACTAATAATTATGTGCACATTAGTGTATGGACAATAAGAGATCTTACTGAGTCCTGACCACAGGAAGACTCTGTGTGCACCACCAACAATTCTGGAAACTTGCTGAGGTTTCCACCTGGGGAACTTGGTCTGAAAGGTTAGGGGCTTGGCTGTGGGCTGACCCTTCTGCCAGTTCATCTGGACTCTGGGCAAATATACCAGCTCATCAGAGCTCCAGACAAACATGCTAGCTCAACTTAACACTCGCATAACACTCTGCCGGCCCAAGCTGGCCTGCCCTGCAAAGCAAACTCAATTAGATTAGGAGTTTGAACACAAAGAGAATGGAGTTTAGAACCAAGAACTCACCCACAGCCCTTGGAACAGGTGAGAAAGATTGTGAACTCAAAGGGCTCACAGTTACCACCTCTGTGTTTTGCTTTGTCTCTGAAGGCCCCTGGGAGGCCACTTCGGATTCCATCACTGCCATCAAACTTGTTAAAGAACAAAAATTCAACCAAATAAATGTTAAAGATCTAATGGCACTATTAATCAATCAATTAATGAATCACACAACATCCCATCTAGCAAGTAGAGGGGAGCTCAAAAGGATTACAGGAAAGGAAAAGGTTTTAACAATAGAGAGGGAGCAGAATCCATTGTTTTAGGGAAGGTCACCCTCCCAAGGAAAAGGAAATGTGTGAATCAAGAAATTTCTTGGTGCTGACCAGGAAATTCCCAAGGTTACTCTTCTGGGGGGTTGAAATTGTACTCATGTCAGGGATTAAGTCTTGGTTTAGTGACTTGGAGCCTTAAACTAAGTGTTGCCATTTTGGGTGTGGGGTTTTTTTTTCAGTGCTCCAAGAAGATAAAGATATACTTCAGAAATGTAAACTTGTATATAGAAAGCTCTTCACACGTCTTCTTATGTGCTTTTTCCCCACTGCTTAAAAAGTGCTTGTGAACCACAGAGAAAAGTACAAGCTGGTTCTTTCTTATGGGCCCTCTGCGGCCTTAGTCTGTGATATTAATGTCAGGACTTGACTTATGAGTCTAGTGAGTTATTGTATCAAAGCAGGGCCAGGACATATTTGGCTGTCTGCCCACACTGTCTAAATATTTCCAGCGTCTACACCAATGGGGCTCCTTTGGGACACCATTCCTGAATTATGCCTGAATAATGAGTGACCCTGAGTGATTAGGAAAATTATATTCTCTCTACCGTAGTGATCCTCCTTGGGACCGTAGATCATCCTGCACCCACACCAGGCCTGGCACACACTAGGACTGCAATAATGTTTGCTGAACAGATTTACCAAAGGTAAGAAATACATTCATTGTATAGAATCCAAGAACCTTTATACATGCGAGCCTCACCCAGTCTTTACTTACTAAACTTCACCTTTTGCTGGTATATAAAATTCAAATCTGAAAAACTCAAGACCATACTAAGACCTCAGTAGCCTAATTACTATTCTGGTTGAGCTATGATTCAGCTCCATCAAATGAACAGAATTTTGTCCTCTATAACTCATTGTTTATGGGTCATACTTTGAGTAGAGCAAGATTGAAGTGAGGACTATGATGTTCAGAAGAACATTCTTGAAAGATATATAATTGTTCTTATTTCCTGATCAAGTAAAACCATCAAAAGTGGACTCTGTTTGAGCATTTCTTGTATGCGAAGTTGTTAGGTGCTCTCATGTGTATTGTTTCATTTAATCCATGAAATGACTATAAAAATATCAATGTGACATTAATATTTTGGATGATGAAACTGAGGTGAGAAAGGCTAACTGAATTTGTCTTTCTTTTTTTCTCTGTATGTTCCATAGGCCATACTATTTAAAAAAAAAAGATTTAATATTTATTTCAAGAGAGAGAGAGCACAGGGGGGAGGACCAGAGGGAGAGAACTTCAAGCAGACTCCCTGCTGAGCATGGAGCCTGACACTGGGCTTGATCTCAAGACCCTGAGATCATGACCTGAGCTGAATGAGGGTCATGCTCAACCAAGTGAGCCACCAAGTGCCCTCAAAGCCCATAGTAGTTTAATTCTGTGGGGAAATAGCAGAACATTTATGCTTTCATTAAAGGCAACATTAGCGAAAATTTTCTATTTGTTTGTTTTCATTAATACTTGACAGAAAAGGTAAGGTTTCCCTTTGAAACATAACCTCTGGGAGGTTATATTCATGTTTATATGCACATACCTTTGTTTATTGAAGGAAAAAGAATCTCTTGATCAAGTTTTGTTTTACCACTCTCGTGGTTGATGATACATTTGTGTTCTTTATCCATTGATGCTTCAGTCACAGTCAGCCAGCTGAATTTCATGTATGTGTCCTTAGTCTTTTTCATAGTGTCTCCCTGCTGGGATTTCAGAATTGTTTTGCCATCCTTTTCTTGCCAATCTATCTTGATAATGTCAGGGAAAAAATCCTCAAGAAGACAAAGGTATGTTCCAGCCTTATGGATTTTTATTTCAGCAACTGAAGGAAGAAAAATGGTGGACTTGGGGGAAATGTCTTCATCAGGACTTATATCTGTTGGAGAAAATGGAATAACAATTAAACCATAATTGGAGGGTACCTGGGTGGCTCAGTCAGTTAAGCATCTGCCTTTGAATCAGGTCATGATTCCAGGGTCCTGGGATGGAGCCTTGCATCAGTCTCTCTGCTCAGCAGGGAGCCTGCTTCTCCCTCTCTCTCTGCCAGCCTCACTGCCTACTTGTGCTCTCTCTCTCTCTGTCAAATAAATAAATAAAATCTTTAAAAATGTAATTAAAGAAACACAAACATTGTGGGGTTTGGAAACACCCAGTACATAATAAAAGGAAAGAAAATTGCTATGGAATTAGTGCTTACTGTGGTTTTTCAACCACAGAAGGTTATGAGGTGCTTATTTTCTTAATTTCCTTGGGAAAAGAGGGTCTAGAGGTTATGTAACTTGCCCACAGTCACAGCTATTAAGTGAAAAGCCCTGGATCAAATCATGGAATTTTTTAAAACAATATACACTCACTTGTTTGAGTGGGAATCTATCAAGTTGACCTTTTATTTACAAATAGGGATCCCATGCCCATTTCTGATACTGGAATTCTTCTCCTTGATTTCTGATTCTATAGAACATCTTGTTCTCACATCTGAACCACCGCGTGATTTTGAGTAAGGCAATGTTTAATGCTGTACTTCCAAATTATTTACAATGCCTGAAATTTAGAAACAAAATGGCCATATCTCCAAAACTTCTATTTAAAAAAAATTATTATTTTCAGAAATTTTCATATAGTAACCCAATCAAGTAATGCAGTGGTCAGAATTTTGTTTTGCTTCAGGAAATGTTCACTAAAAGTACATTTTATATTGGAATTTCATTTGAAGATACCTTGACTAAGAAGACACTATATTTGACCCTTATCATCTCTCCCCAAATCTGAATGCCCTACAAGCCTGCTGAACTTGTAGTACCACTCAATTTTCTTTCATTTCACCTGCTAAATAAAGTTATATCATCAAATATAATGTCAAATTATATAATGAAACATCATGGTTTTCAAGGCATGTCACTTGAAGGCTGGAATATTCCTTGGTTATACATTATTATTAATTAATGATTCAAATTATAAATAGTAGAATTCTTTCCAATTTGAGTTCCAACTGAAACACAAATTGTTTACTAATTTTCTCTTTCCAGTTGTTTGGAGTTAGAATAATAATTTCATGGGCCATTTCCTAAGAAAAAAATAAATAGACTTCTCCTTTGAGAAGAAAGGGAAAAAAAATTCTTCAGAATTTTTGCCTGTGCACCAAAGGTCCTGATTTTTATACTAAATGAGTAAGCAAACAATGATGAGTTTTTTATTCATGGTATAAATAAATATTAGGTCATAATGCACTTGTTTTAAGTTTGTATGTCTTTCTTATAGTGCAAATAGTATTTTACTGATTATAAGATCACACACAGTATATTTCTTTTTTTTGTTTGTTTGTTTGTTTAAAGATTTTATTTATTTATTTGAGAGAGAGAGAATGAGAGATAGAGAGCATGAGAGGGAAGAGGGTCAGAGGGAGAAGCAGACTCCCTGCTG